AACAAGGAAACTACAGGGGTAGTAAGTTTAAAACAACAATACTACACTGGTCTATGTGCAATTAACTATTATATAAATGCTTGCATCATTTTGTATATTAATAACAGAAAATACAAAACACTAGTCATAACATCTCACAGAGACAAATTAAATATTTGATAACATTTAGGTTTAATATCTATAATCGGTTAAAATATTACTGATATCCATCATCAAGTTTCATAAAGAAATCAGTGGAGAATGATGCACATAAGACTCATTACTTAGATGCATAATTATCAAATTCTGATGGTGGGGAGACCGCGAGCAGTTCAATAAAAGGTTTAGTTTACCTGAATGCTGGATCTTAAGAGGGAAAATTATGGTATACCGAAATATACTGCAACACACAAAGCTCCATTCAAGTATTCACGCGAAAAGGAAAGATGCTTAGCTGACATGTCAACAGAACCAATGTTGAGCCAGATATATCAGAGAATCACATGACATGCATGGTAACAAGCTAAATATACTTACAGGACATGGTCCTAAAAGTTTATTTATGATTGTTATTAAATTTGAATTTGAGGAGTAAAATCACTTTATAATCACTCTATCATCCTCAATCACTCAAGCCTTTTCTGTTCAAACAGAGTTGAACAGCAAAGATAAACACCTAAATAAGAATAAGTATGCAAACTGTGGCCAAACAACCCAAGATATCCAAGTATGATGAATGAAATGTTTATTTTCCAAGCACGTAGAAGCTCATGTGCTGATGAATATTATTTAGAAACAGACTGACCTTTCCCCATTCAGAACCAATACCGCTACATCTCATCTTTATGCGTATCATTTTTGTTCCCAGCTCGCTTTCAACCTTTTTCCGCAAATAGGCCTCGTCAGGACCAAAAGAACCAAGATATGTCATGTAGCGGTTATATGCAGCTTTCATGGCATCTTCTAAATACTCTGGCAACTGCCCTACATTCTGAAAATAAATCCAGTTGATCATTGAACACCAAAAAGCTTAAAATCAAATAGCAGAAGTCTGTCGTTTTACACGACTTACTTTTAACAGCAGAAACAATCAGTTTTTGCCAAACCATTCATTTAAAATAATCATAAAGGTTCTGGTAAGGACAAAAAATAATTTAACTACAAATTTCTAACTAGTAATACTTCTAGAGATAGGTATGTGGTCCCTACGTCCCCAAATTACTCTTATTCCGATGTATCACTCACTATTAGTTATATAATAGTTAAATATTTCTTGTTAGTTTAGCATTACTCTATGTAAAAAATTTCAATAATATTATTGGGTTATAGGATAACTCTCAATTAAAATTTTATAGTGATGATTCCTTCTAGGTGATGAGACAGTTTTAATGAGTAACCTTAGTTAAAATTCTACAGCTGAGGTGCTTCTTTGAAAATAGATAAGGTATTTATTACAAAGCTTACAAATTGTGTCCAAGAAGTATGGTATCCTGGTAAGGGTCCACAAAATATGGTATTTGGACAAGTGTCCAAGAAGTATCGTTCTGATTTATCGGACATGAACACAGCTCCGTGAGAAATGCCTACGTTGTTACATAAGCTAACAGTGAGGAGGACACACATTGGTAGCAGGACCCTTATCTCTGAGAGCTAGTACATAAAGTATTATATTTATTGTTGATGTTTCAAGGGAAAAAAGTTAAATTTATGAAAGTTATATATTCTTGAAGGTAGTATAAGTATTTTAAATTTGCAGGACATTAATATAATTCTCTTTTCTTCTACTAATTTTTATAAGTTTTGAATATTAAAACTTCTACTGTTATTTGGTTATTGTATGTAGTCAGGAGTAGTAGCTTTTGATGGGTCTGGTCATGTTTGACTAAGGTGGTTTGATCTTCTTGTACATTCACTTTGCAATATGTTTTTCCTTGGGTCCAATTAATAATACTTAATCTAACAATAAAAAACACATATGAACAAAAAATGGTACATCAATATGAAAAGTGACAGGACAAACATACCTCACCAGTTACCCCACTGAGATCATCAAGTGCCATCCTCAGAGACACTAAAACCCCCGCCAAACTCCACTGAAGCTTCTGCTGCACGGCAAAGATTTGCCAGTGCCTCGTGGCCAGCCTTATCTTCAGTAGCTTTTGATAATGCCTTCTTTGTATTACTGATAACAGAATCCGGAATTTCATCCCAGGTCATAGCCATTAAATCCTTGAAAGCAGATTATACTTCAGGATCTGTTATGCAAGGCAATTGTCTAGTTGTCCCACTGAATAGGCGTGTCAAATGAAGACTCCAGTTTGAGACTGTTTGCCACCAAAAAAAAAAAAGTGAAATAATAAAGAAAGATATGCTGAACATGGTAATCGGTGAACACCTCTGCTAGGCCTCAAAACGTCATCATAAAAGTACATAAGAAAGTAGAAGTTTACTGCTTAAAGTATAGGATACGTGCCTTCATATCTGATAAGCTAGGTTGCATAGGTACGGGTACGGGTACGGGACACGGCAAATTTGTAAAAAATAGGGTACGGGGACACGGCTCATATATATATATATATATATATATATATATATATATATATATATATATACCTAAGTATATTAATATATTATAATTAAAAAATTTAATCATTATATATATATATATATTATATATATATATATATATATATATATATATATTAAAAATTAACAATTATATTAACTATAGCCAATTTACTATGTTTAATTTCAAATTCTCAATAACATAAGCTCATTCCTTAAAATTATAAAGTAAACTTATTGAAACTTTGACTTTATATTCACATAAGCATCAAAAAAGAATATATATATATATATATATATATATATATATATATATATATATAATATATAATAGACACACACACACACAGAACCTATTTAAATATGAGAACATATGTCTCCCATTCTTAGGGGCTGTTTGGAAAAGAGGTTTTTAGGGGGAAAGGGCTGGAAAGCCTGCCAAACACCCTGGCACTTGTTGGCAGGCTTTCCACCCAAATCGCCTCTAAAAGAGGCGATTTGGGTGGAAAGCCTGTCAAAAGCTGTACTTTTGGCAGGCTTTCCCCCTACCCAAATCGCAAACAAACAGCCCCTTAGCATTGCCATTAATTTTAAAGAAAAGACAAAAGCAAATAGTCAAGCACCCATGTGAATGGTGATGTCATGTTCCACTAATAAATTTAAAACTAAGGACATAAGAGAGAGACTTCTTCCTCAAGAATCGCAGGCATGAAAACCCAAATTTCTTGCTCCCGTGTCCCCTCCGTTTGGGTGCGGAAACGTACCCAAAACACATCCGACACGGGTACGGCACCAAAATTGTCGTGTCGGGGTATCAGAGCTGATAAGGGACATTATGATAACACAAGGCAATCCAGTCACAAAATGTTCTGAACTGGAAAAACAAAAAGATATCCATTTTCAGGTCCAAAGCTCATATTGTTAACAGGCGGGGATGACGCGTGTAATGGTTGCACTATTCACGAAAAATCGTGTTTATGTTACATAAGCATAAGCTACATAACAATTCATCTTGCACCCGTGTTGAATAAAACATGCACTGACAAGAAGTAATTCAATCACGATAAGGCCTCGGTATATAAATATAGTTGTAGGAAGAAGAAAATGGTGAACCCTCTCTCATTCTGAAACATCTCAACCTGGTCTCAATTTGTAGATTGTGAGCTTGCAGTAAGTACTATGCGCAATTGATAAGTGCGTTTGTTTTGTTTTCACATTTTAGCATTAACAAATGCAGCACACTGTACCCAATCAAGACAGACTAGCACTTAGCATTGTTAACAAAGACCAGTAGAAACATAGTGCCTCTTCTTTTTTCTTCAACAAAGTAAATGTATCAAGACAATTTAGCATTAATAAATGCAGCATAGCTGAAACCAATCAAGACAGATGAGGACTTAGCACTCTTCACAAAAATCACTAGAAATATAGTGCAGCTTCTTCCTTCTTCAACAGAGTAATTGTATCAAGAACATAATTCAACTGCAACAAGTTACACCAAACCTACAAACCAAGACAAACACTGCCTCAATAACTACATCTAAAGCCTAGAGACGTATAGCACATTGATGAAAACCCCAGGTCATTCCTTTCTAATTGGGATGAGAATTATGGAACTAACCTACATACAGACAAGTAAACAAGTAAGAAGAATGTAGAGCAAACTAAGAATCAAGTAACATAAACTCACACAAAAGTGACTTTATTTTCTTCAATACCAAGATTTGATTAGGGATGATGAGAATTATGGAACTAACCCACATACAGACACATAAACAAGTAAGAAGAATGTAGAGCAAACTAAGAATCAAGAAACATAAACTCACAACAAAAGTGACTTTCTTTTCTTCAATACCGAGATTTCATTAGCGATTTCCTTATATATGTTTTGAATCATAGGTTCTTAAGTGAAAACCAAAAGATTAAATGATATTATTACGTGTTTCACTATTGCTTCTTGGACAGTGCCGTCATAGAGAAAATGTACAAATAAATACATGTTTTGCAAATTAGAGAATATATGTTTTGCAAATTAGAGGAAGAAAGATCCAATCAACGCAATTCTTGATTCAGAGGAGCAAGCAAGCTAATGGGGAGCATGGGCATCAACCGTGGTTCCTATTTCTCCTCCATAAATTCCCCTGCTTCTTCTTCTTCTTCTTCTTGCATTGCAATCTTCTCTCTTCAATCTTCAAGCTCAATTCTCATCACTCTTCATCTAAAAGAGCTCTTCATTCTCTTCTCCCAAAACCCAAGTGCTACGGTAAATTGCAGTATAAATGTTATGTTATTTGAGTGTTTTCCCGTGCTCTTAATCAGTTTTAATCATTTTCCAGAGCTCAATCTCGCTGCCCATCTCACATTCTATCATAGAGAAAATGTACAAATGAATACCTAAAGGCTCTCAAGTAGGAGGATGTAATTCATTTTTAATCTATAAAAGGATTGCATTGAGGCATGTCATTGCTTCATATTTCACTCTTTTTTTATCTACAACAATCATGTCATGTTCTGGGACCTTCTTTTAAGAGATTCATGTCATGTTATATCTTCACATAAGTTCATAACATAAACAAAATATGACGTTCACAACAGATTTTCTTTCCATACCACAAGAACAAGTTAGTTATTTCACATATAAAAGTGCAAAACTTCACAATTTTATAAGAGCTTAACATAAAATAAACTTTGAAGGTCCTAAATTAGATTCTAACCACAAACAAAAATTCTTACGTTTGGTGAAAAATTTGAATTGTGTCATACAAGTTGTATCTCCGTCAAGAACTTACATTATGATGTTCGGAACAGAACTTAAAAGATTTATTTGAATTTCACTAAGACAAGATAAACCCAGTTGTTTTCTTACACGAAGATTGTAGTAAAACTTGCAAATTTACTGTAATCAACATTTACGTACTTGAAGAGGATAATGGAACATATGAAAATAGATGCACAGATTGATTCTAGAACGGAATAAGGTAAAACATGTGTTTTTTTAACACTGATACATTTTTTTATACTGATATCCACTTTTCATCTAATTTTTAAAGCTTTTCCCTAGGCCTTGTCCTCTCTGATATCTTTCTTCTTACCATGTTTTTTTCTTACATCTAAAGAATGTATGAGCATTGACAAAGTAAATAATTCAAAATATATTGCACAATTGTAATGAACAAATCTTTGCTGAAAGCTATCATAACTTTTCTTTGACAAAGTTAAAATACTTAATTATCATATTAACAACCGCGACAAAGCCTTTATACCAACTTTCAGGAGTCAGCTAGATGAATTTATTTTCCATTTAGTTGACTTAAGGACTATCTCCTCCGTTAATTTAACAATTAACATATCTTTCATAATTGTTTCTAACCCGGTCCTTTTAGTTCTATCCCTCGTCCTTGTTACCCCACTAATTATAATCATATGATCTCATGACATCTCTTAATTGGTGTGTATTATGGTCCTTGCTGCGCATGATCAAATCACCTTAATCGATTCTTTATTATTTTTTATTCTTAATGACTTTCTATGAATGCATTAATTTCATATCTCTTATTTCGGCATATATCTATTAAATCTATACATCCATCATAACATTATCATTTCTACTATGCTCATTTTTCTACAAATGGATTTCTTGCTCACCCAATATTTTGATCCATAATGTATTTATTTCATCTCATAATTGTCCTATGTAATTTTCGTTTTAGTTTCAGCCTTTATTTAAGTTTAGGGGCTGTTTGGTTCACCTATTTTATAGAAAAGTTTTGGGAAAACATCAAATAGTGGCATTATCGTGAATAATAGATTTCTGCAGATTTCTATAAACTGTGTCTGGCTCCCAAAAAAAATATAAAAAGATTTTCTATAGAGTAGGGAAAATGTACTATTTTATAAAAGTCAATTTCCTCCCAAATGGGCAGAAATTGCAAGGACATTTGATATTGATGTTAAAATAGTAATAAAGTACACCCGTACAACTTTTCCTAGAAATTTAAAATTGCCTACTTTCTTGCATGAGTTTCACTTTTCCATAAAATTTTCTTATCCAACCAAACAAAAGAAAAAAAAAACAACCTATTTTCTATGAAGTTATGAACTCATTTTCATGTTTTGAACCAAATAAAAGAAATAGCAACAAACAAGAAAAGTAGTATTTTTTGAGTTCTATAAACTTCTCCTACAAATATTTATAGAAATATAAGAAAATTAATCTATTGACACTTTTCCCTTTTCCTTTTTTTATAAAAGTCGAACCAAACAACCCCTTACTAAACACCTTTCTCTTAGCAATTGAACCCCTAATAAAGCTCAAATCCTACACAAATTCATCATGCTCCTCCAAACCCTAACCAAAGTCCTTACAAATAACACAAACACTAGAGCAAAGATGTAACAGAAAATCGATCAAAACAATGAAATAATTAAACAGAGCTAGTATCGAAGATCAAAATCACGAGAAGGAATCAAGGTAACCTCGATTCTGATGAACAGCCGGCGATAAGAAGGAGAACAAGCGAGGAGACGGTGACGAGGATGAGATTTCACGGGTTGAAGAGGAGATCGCCGGCAATGAGATAATGGAGATCGATGAGAGACATCGGAGCCTTCGGCAAGCGGAGGACGTTAAGGAGCGGAGCACCATAGCCTTTTTCTTTCTTTTTCTTTATTTCGGTGAGGGAGAGAGAAACGCTGCGGGCTTTCGATGATGTTGATGGGTAATTAGTTTGGCTGTTTAGCTTGACTTTACCGGCGGTGAGTGTACCGCTTCAAACGGGTTGGCAGCTTGGTCCGGGTTCATTAAAGAGCAAAACCCGAACCCGCCCGTGGAGAACCGAATTCGATGAGGTGATGACGAATCAACTGCTTGAATCAACTAGACCTGATGCACACGTGACAATTTGTCTGGATTACATGTCTGAGCGGGCAGTTCTG